GAATTATTGCGATGGAGCAGCAGATGATTAAATTGGAGTGCTTTTGTAAGATGCAAAATAAAACTTCGGCAAATATTCAGGAAGAATTGTTGGTGTTTGGCTATGCTTCACGATTGTACGCAAACGACGAGCGTGCCGAGTGGTTGGCGGAGGAACGGCATCTGATCGCTCATCCAGCAGATTCTCAGCTTTTAATTGATAGGTGAGTTTGCAAAAGCGTGCGCGCCGAAAATCGGTCTTATTGCGTTTGTGTTTCCTTGGAAGACAGGTTTGCGGTGGATGGCGCCTTGCGAATGTTCCTGAGAATCGATGGACCTGATTATTTGTTGGTAGGTTTTTATTATTTCTTGAATTTTTTCCTTTTAATTATTATCTTATTCACCTTCCTTTTATTCCCTTCCTTTTAAACCCTTACTTTTTACATAAATACACACCATCTAAAATTAAAATTACAATTATATCAGCTTTTCTCTGTCTCTCAGTTAAAAGTCAAAGTCAAAATCGCCTCCGTATTTATTTCTCCACGGAAAGCGGAAGCACTCGAGAGTAGTCCGACTAGTACTGACAGTAACCACGCAGTGGCAACAGTGTCAGTGGTTTCCTCTTCTGACGGTTGCTAAGAGTAAGCTGATGATGGAATTCAATTTTTTGCATACTGCAGTCCAATTTACCGTGAGCGCGAATGAACGAATTGTAGAGATACTGATTATCTCCTGCCGAAATTGGCCGTCAACACGAAAACAGCAACTAGTTACCACCGCATCATTTCCTTCAGCTTTACAAGCGTGTTGGCTTTTGTGGGCACTTATTACCACACTGGCCAGTTCTGTATGTTTCCGCTTTTTGTGAAGAGCGAATAAGGAATTTGGACCATCCTTAGTGCACCAGACAAAAACGAACTACTTTTTTGGTGCGAGAAAAATGATATAGGAATCACTTCTGATATATTTAAAGTAGCTGTTGACTGTAAAATTAAGCTGTCTGGCTAACTTTTAATTCACTACGTTTTGTTAAATGAAGCTTTTTTTGTTAAGAAATTAGGCTTGGAATTTGCCCTTGTGCATTATGTAACACTGTCTGGCGCAGTTACTAGAATTCATCGGGGTAGGGTATGCAGTTCTGTTTGGCTGGTATTTTTTTAGTTTAATCCTCCGGAAAGGTTTAACATATCAGAATTGGTTTTATGCCGAAAGAGGGTGGGAGAAGGGGAAGGCTTGAAAATAAAAATAACGTTATTAAGAACTGAGTTAATGAGAAGTTACAATGGCCAAAAAAAGAAAATCACTGTGCTAAGAGTAGCAAAACCCAGTTTGAGAGGACCGTGAAAATCGAAGATATTTTTGCTTAAGCACAGGTGCTGCTGCAAGTACTGACATATGAATTTTACAACTGTGCAAAGCTGGAGAGTCATGAGGGAGGAGGCTGGGCAGGAGATTGCAGTGAATTTCACGATTCTCGTACAAACTTTTGTATCTCTCTGCTTTATTTGTACTGGCATTTCAGTAATGATTTTTTTTCATGTACAGCATGTTGATGCTTCTTTTCACGTTCTTCTAAGTCAATCAAAATGATGTACTTCATCGCTTTTCAGAATCTTTTGCACTGTGACTTGCGTGTTTGAAGCGAAAAGTCCTTTCAAATTGTCAAGGGCATTTCTAGTGGAATATTTCCATTCCTTTAACTTGGATAGGACTGAAAATGCAGTTGAACAATAAGAAAAAAATCGACGTGTTTTGTTTTGATCAAAAGTGAATCCATCTTGCTCATCTTCTTCCTCTCTCCAATCTCCCAGAGCCGTATTCATTTTTCTACTATGTTTTCATTTGATATTTTTGCAATAACCGTAATAGTAGTGGAAAACTCCCGAAGAAAGAGGTAAACGAGAGAAAAAATTCTCGAACGAATTATGGGAAAAA